GTCTCTTGTATAAACTTACTGTCAGCCGAATAGCCTTGATCGCCGCCTCGTCTATCCTGTCTCTATCCCTAATACTTATTATTCTCAAATGTAATAAATTAAAAAATGTCACATTTAAGTGATAGCTCGGCTTTGCCCATTTGTGTACTAGCAATGATGACTGGTATGATTATGATTTATTGCGGGAAAGATTGACTTTTGAAGCATAATTTTATCATTCCTTGTATTTCACAGTTTATTTCCCAAAAAATTCTCCTGCAAAGTTGTGCATCTCTAGTAGCTCCCTAGAGCTTAACCTACCATAATATATATGATATAAACGTATGCAATTTGACATAATTTATTCTCATCAGAAGACTGGCCAGTGCAATCTTACGGAGCAGTGAGATAATTTAGTAATTTGAATAATACGCTGTGTGGAGGAGATAATGCTTGCAAATAAGATAAAATGGGTTACTGTTTGTACTCACTTTTTCTTCTTATTACGCTTCTTCTTATTTGCTGCAGCCCCTTCATGTGTTGTTGTCGTCTCTGCATCACTACTCCCGCCACCGATATTTAAAGAAGCCGAGGCAATGGAATACGAAGAAGCGGCAGACGTAGTGGGGACATTAGCCGTGCAGAGATGAAGCTTTTTCTCCTGTTTAGAATGCGACTTTCCACCTGCAACGGTGCTGGAGACTGAACTAGCAGGTAACATATTGTACATGACCTCCAAAGAAGTTTCCGGGAGCTTGCTAACTTGGCTTGATTGCATTGAACCAATTGCTTCGATAGGCTTATCAATACTGAAGTTTGCCAATGAAGTAGCCGCTTCTGCTACAATAAGCAGATATAAGGTCCTGGATTAAATAAATTTTTTCGACATTTTTTGCATGCTTTGATCTCAAATGAATGGTCATTATGCGTATGATATAGAGCCACTGACCTAATACTGGATTATATATAGTATTTAATATGTAGAGTTTATATTAAATAAAGTATATGGTATAGTATTTAAGACATGCGAAGAGTCTAATTGAAACTTATTCCTCAACTTACTCGTGTAGTTTGGCGCACTAAATTTTGTTACTTGATCATCTGTAACAGCCTGTTCTGGACATTCTTATGAAACACGGATATTATCGCGTAACAGGTTTCGAATCAAACACATCTTTTTAGCAACAATTGTTTCTTTCCCAAAGTTTGCTTCTGCCAACAACAACACGATTACTTGTAAAATGGCGCATTAAAAAGACTCGGAGTGAAAACCCATGATCATGTCTGCTTTGTAGGCTGACCTTTGAAGTACCGCCAAAATAAGCCATATATTTTGATAAACGGCAATGGACAGAGAGGTTTCTTACCAAAAAATAAGATATTGACTCTTTATTGACTATTCCTCTCGTATGGTTTCTTAAGACGGTCCTTTGGGATGACTAGTGACTCTAACAAAACAACTCTCTCTGGAGGAAATAAAGTGGCTATGAAAAAGCTTACTTATCTAAACGTCGTAATACTGAATGAAATTAATTTCATCAATGCGCTTTGCCAAAAAATTAGTTTCTTACTAGGTTTACGTTAAAATGCATTACCCACAGAGATATGGGCAAGCCAGTTTCATAGTTAATAAAGACAGTTTTGTTTTTGTACAGATAGAGGTCTCACAAAAGCATGTATATCGAAGAGGTTCTAAAGTGTATATTCTAGTAAAAAGGGGGACCCACATCATAACTAAATTTCACACATGATCAGAAAGCGCCTATTCATCAAAAGGTTGAGCAAGGCCAAGTCTTAGTCTCTACCTTAAGATCAGGTATTGTGATTTATTAATGATATTCCTTCGGTAAGGCCAAATCAAGTACAATGTTTAATCGAAAATATGAAAACCAAAATGGTGTGGCCTTTTGTGTGGTAGCAGTCTACTTTCGTTGTATAAAAGTTATTTGACCTTGCTTTCGCAGTGGTCAGATTGGTAGGAAGATTTAGAGAAACGCACCTAGTCCGGAGTCCATTGTATGCATGATCATTTCCAGTAGGACCGTGGACGTGGTACATTTCCAGACGTTTCGCAGGCATCGTCAGTGAGTCTCGCCATTCGTAGGCCAAATGTGTGCTAAATAGTTATGGTATCTCCCATTCTGCCCTGAGCTATTCACATTTCCTATATCCTCCTATCATGCCTTCCTTGTCACAATTTTAACCGTGTTTATTTTTAATGTTGTTTGATGTGCTCATTCTAGCGGCATTCATGAAAATCCTTCACACTCCACGCTGTCGCTATCACCCCCTTTACCCTTGTGCTGGGAATGTTGACCAGAGTCTGTCATATTGTTACGTAGCCCTTCCCTGGGTCCCATCAGTCTCCCTCTTGTCCCGTCGAATGAGTATGCTATCTCATAGGTACATCTATTTCACTTTAACCCTGCCCCCCATCTGTGCTATTCGAGGCATAATTTGTGCATCCGCTGCACCTTGGCGATTGATTAGAGGCCAAGTATATGACTTGCCATGCCCTAGTTGCTTGTGTGCCAACTCAAAAATGTTGTGATACTGCTGGTTTTGTGTGTCAACCCACAAACATTGTGGTTTAACATTAAGCCTAATCAAAGCCAGCAGTACCACAACATTGGTGGGTTGGCACACAAGCAACTAGGGCATGACAAGTCATAGATTAGGTATTAGGGATAAAGACAGGATAGACGAGGCGGCGATGAGAGCTAGTTAGTTGACAGTAGGTTTTACAAGAGACGTGGTTTATGTAGCAAAGGCATGACCATGGGACTTACTTTGAGGCTTTAGCCTCTATTCAATCGCTTAGGTGCTGAGGACGGATGAATTACGCCTCGAATAGCACTGATGGGGGGGGGTAGGGGTCGAGTGAAATACATGTGCCAATGAGATAGCAGACAGATTCGACGGGACAAGAGGGAGACTTTGATAGGACCCAGGGAAAGACCACAATGAAAGACTGTGGTCAACATTCCCAGCACAAGGGTGAAGGGGGTGATAACGACAGTGTGGTGTGTGAAGGATTTTCATGAATGCCACTCGAAGGAGCACATCCCACTAAATTAAAAAAAAGCACGGTAAAAAATTGTGACAACGAAGGCATGATAGGATATAGGAAATGTGAATAACCCAGGGCATAAGGGGAGATACCACAACTGTTTAGCACACGTTTGGTC